GGCCTCGCGAACCTACGGTGAATGTGTGAGTTTATTTGATTTTGTTGTTGCAACCTCATCCGACCGTTGTGAGCAACTTTGGACCAGAAACTCAGAAGCCTTCATTTATGGCCTTGAATAAATGAAAATACGGCTCTAACGGCAAAACCCTGAGTGTGCCCTATAGCGACACCAAACGAACTGAGATCAGAGCAAAAGCCTTGGTTGACAGCCGTTGCTGCAAGCGCTTCCCACAAGAGGACTCCGGAACCAATCCACTGGTTTCAACCCAACTTGAAAACGCCACTGGGGTCGGGCCAGAACCGACTTCCCGAGCCAACCGGCAGTCGAGCCTTGCCACGGGACCGGCGGCAACGGTAGGCCAAAACAAACAACACTCTGTGACTCGTTGGTGTTCTATGGGCTCCATCCACAGTTAATAACCCTTAGATTAGACAAACAAATCTGCAACCCAATTTCGGTCATTCGTTCCCTCATACTCGTAGAATTCTCTCCCTCTACAATATAAACTGAAATTCCATCGAACCTTACATAGGCTACCCTTTTTAGTACCTCCTTGTTGTCATATTAACTGTTATCCCTGTAATATCACCACATTTACCCACAATTGTACCCTCTTCTGTTAGTTAATAAATTCACTTTGAGCACAGCGATGTATGTGTGTGTGTTATTCAGAATCTAGAGTCCCTATACACAAAACTTACACTCAGATCTGAGACTGACTGATTGACCTTACGATTTCAGAATAACAACTAATGAATTAACCGAACTCGGTATAATTCTCAGGCTATACTCAAGGACCTAAAGCCTTGGGCGGACAAGCAAATCTTTAGGTGGTGCTCCTAATTTCGAGGTATAAAATTAATATTCCCGGAAATATTAATTTTCATAACTGCATTAAAATTTTACGTAGCCGAGGTCTGCTACATAGTCTTTGATGTACTTTTCTCGGGCTGCCTGATCTTTGGCTTCAGGGGGTAACCTGAGCTTCCTGTTTACCCTTCAGAAAAGTGTGCATGTACTGAACAAAAATCGAGTCACTCTGTCTATCAAATTGCCATACCTCTGTGATCTCAGCTACCCGATACCCCATCTCCAAGGCCTTGTTAAATTCAGGAGTGACCCAGACCCCTGTCATCACTCTGTCCTCATCACTGTGTTGACATGGACCCTCCTGAAAATTAAGTTCAGCGCAGGTGCGAAGAGTGTGAAGACAAGTTTACCAGCTGCAGTTCTATATGGCAAAACATGAAAAATAAACCCTGTGGTGGACAGATTTTGGCTCTGATTATTCCAAAGTAGCTTTGGGGTTCTTTGAAATCTTTGTAGATTATTTTTGGGTGCCCCAAAGGATAGGGAAAGTTACAGTTGACATAGGGATACAGCGATGTCACATCAAAGTAGTCTACCGTTTCATTAGCACCCGCAGTGTGTCTCAACTTTACTGCACAGGTTCGACCCCCATACAAAGCTTCGCGGGGTGAGAGAGGTTGAGGAGCTTTATACTGATTGAGAAAATCTTTTAACCCCTGATGTGATTTTTCTTCTCGGTCCATGTGTGCTCTCTCATGACAATCACTTTAGCATTGTGGATGGCCTGTAACTCACGTAATTTCTCCTCGCTCCTCGCATGCAACTCCTCAAAAGGGTGGCCGGTCAAAGGATTGGTCTCATGAGCTTTGAAACAACTCGGACAGCCATGGAAAAAACATCCCAGAAACTCCCATACATATTTCACACCTTGGATCTCTGCAAAACCATCTACAAAGTATTTTCCTAGTTGTTTTTCCCCCTCATTTAAAGCATGTTGAATGAAGATGTTTTCGGTGCTCGCCACCCATTGCAACCACTGAATGCCTGCGTTCAAATACGTTTTGAACTGGCGTGTGTAGTTATCGGGTCGGGGATGGCCAAACTTTTAGGAGGAAGGAAGTTGGTCACAAACACTTTCATGCATGCAGATGCTATAGTCGCACGGCTAAAGGGTCAACCGCTGTTTCTTCAATATACTGTTTTCTGAACAGCTTGCATCCCTCTGCGAGAATCTCAACATCGTTTTCACAATAGAGGCGGCCTCTCTCATGAAATCAAATGTACCGCGGCACGCCGTCTCGTACCAGGTGTTAAAGTCTTTCAGCTGTACCGTAGTCATGCGTTCTGTACCGTACATTTTTGGCTCCGGGTAGGGACCTGTGTAGGTCAAATGGGCAGGTGAGCTAAAATTATGGGGAAAATAGCCTTTAATTCTGTCATCGAAACCGAGAGCTTTTGGCATATCGGCTAAACGCATGGAAAGAAAGGACAGTGAGTCAATGTATTTTTGATTAAAATCAGGATCTGTCATACAGATGACTTTTGAACCTTGCAAAATCAAAGAGGGTTTTAATGCTTGTTCAAGCATGGCGTTGAGGAGTAGGTAGGAGTCAAAACCTCGAGCATTGTGAGCAATAAACACAGCATTTTTGTACAGAGGGCGTCTGAAATGCATGAGAAACTCGTTGGCACAATTTCTGCCTTGAGAGCTCCATGTTTTGCCATCTAACGTTTTTGTACACACCAAAAAGGGTATGTGAACACCATTTTCATTGACGTATGTTTCAAAATCATAAAACACCAATTTTTCTGTGTGTTTTGTTTCAGGTGGTAGTGTCTGGATGTAGCATTGGTGCATCTCACTCTTATCTGTAACGTCAGAGGTCAAATTCTCACCACAGATTTTACACTTCACCGCAGGACATGTGTGTGGTTTACCTTCACCACTCATCGCTGAGTAGTAAAGCTGTGCACATTTGTTACATTTTTTGTACAAGGAGCACGTGCTGGCGAATTTTTTGGCTCTGGGCCTCTCTGTAGGCTCTTTGTGCTTTGTCAGACAGAATTCTGAACGACATGTCCTGTTACACTCTTTACACACAATAGGTTGGAACCCCTTCTGATTACAGGTAGGGTCATAGCAAACGGAACAATGAGCAGGGCATCGGTGACTCAGCACACAGTTGTACCCTGTGTAACAGTACTCACACAGATATGGGGAACCCAGAAAGGCCTTTAGATTTTTTATACCATAGTAGTGGTTCTGAAAGAGAAACAAAAATAGGGTTTTACTCTGTCTTGGGCTTTTGGTCATGAATTTACAGAGGGCCCTATCGTCATCTCCTCTATAAAACACTACAATTTTGCAGTCCAAAGCACGTTCAAATCGTGTGATGTCGCTTAAGGCTACAGGTGTCTGATCATCCATTCCCACTTTGTTTTGAATCTCTCTGCCGCATTCAAGAGCCTGTCTATCGTTGAGGAGGGGATGTAGAAGATGAGCCAGACAGACGGCGAAACACAACTGATTCCCCTCGTTTTCTACAATGTACAGAAAGATTTCGCTTTGTAACATTTTATCCACCATTGCTCTTTTACCCGCGCCTGTAGGGCAGGTGATCACTTGGAGAACCAGTTCTAGATCACCATCTGTCATAATGGTCCAATTGGATTGTACAATGCGAAGCAAAAGTCTTTCAAAACCTGCTAAATTGTCAACATCACCATCCTGTAAGATAACTGATACATTATTACGGAGATTTTCACCTCTTAGCTCCAACTGCACCACATCTTGGGGTCTCCTGTGTGACAAGGCTTGTTGTAAAATCGCATCTACCTGCTCCAGTGTACCATTGTAAAACTGAGCATAATCCACTACACCCTCTGCATTGGTTGGAGAAGGAAAGCGCAACACCTGACGTATTTCATAATTACAGAATCTATGTCGTGATATGACTCTTGCTTGAGGTGCCACAGGGTCATTATTTTGAGTCACACTGCCCCCTTGCTGTTGCAAGGGAGGAGTGTTGGCTACCTGCTCCGTGAGGGGGGAGTTAATGGGGACTGATAGGTCGAGGATGTAGAGGGGGTTAAGGCAGGGATTGCATTATTTTCAAGCTCGGAGAAAGCATTTTGTATTTGAATCAAGGGTCTGGAGACACACATGAGTTTAAGACAGGAATATGCTCAGGCTCGGGTAAAGAGGGGATGTTGTTTTGGTTAAAGGGT